AATCTTAGAATACTTTTATATCAAGTTGCATTTAAATAATGTAAAGATCTAAAATGGTATTCATAACAGCTTAATATTTGTTTCACTGTTTTTAACGCATTTCCTATTGGAGATGGAAAAATCTCACATTCACTCACCACATGAACAATGTTTAATATTTTTCTCACTGATTCTGTGCAGTTTGAAGTCTAAATTGTTTGATGAAGTACCACCATGTATTCCTTTGATTTTAGAAAATTAACAGTTTTTTGAATACTACCAAATGAAAAAGTAACTTTTGTATTCAGAATATGCATATCTGGTACATGTATTCAGTTACTTCCCAACACTTACCATCGTTTTATGTTATAAGTGGCAGTTTGTGGAAAAAAGTTGAAAACAAAAATACAAAAATACAGAAAGCAGTGAGTTTTAAAACAAAATCCATCTACCTATGTTATCAAAAGGGAAGATCCATCCAAAATGTAGGGACAATTTAGGCAAAAGAAAGCCATTTTTGTCACAGTTCAAACCTTCATTCAACACAACAATTGAAATAATTTTTATTAGTCCAATCATAAATACTGTTGTGTGAATTAGGTGAGCTTTGGCCCTTGTTAGTTTTTATTGTTGCTGGGTAACAGTTATGAATTTATCTCTACAGATTTGCTCCCCTTGTCTTACCAGGAAGTTAAATATTAAATGTCATAAAAACTGTCAAACTAAAGAAAACTAGCAAAGTTTAAGGAAATAAATACAATATGGTTAAAGATGTTTTAATGAAACGTGTAGTCTAATCTGTCATATGCATTTTAAGTAGTTACAAAACGTGAATCATTCTTAATAAACAATTTGTACATGAGTAGTTAAGTCTGTCTTCATGCTTTATTTGCACTAATTAAGATGTAGTGATTATAAAGTGAAACCTGAAAAAAATATGTTATTATAAGTACTTTTCTCCTAAAAGTTCTTTGTTTTTCTTTAATCAAAACAACTCTTTGCAGAATTTCTGTAGTTGCAGATTTGTATGTGGTCTGCACTGAGGAGTCAGACTTCGGTGAAGGACGAGACACCAAACGACAGTCAACAGCCCCATCTACAGGCAGCAAGAAGTCATAGCAATCACGCCATCTACACAAATAAAGGTGCACTGTGTAACTTTTTGCGAGGAGGGTTCGCCACCTACTTTTACCCACTGAGAAGTTATTGCTTTGCCTGAAATGTTCCACAGTATGACATTAAACTTATATTACTTGTATTTATTCACTTACTGGGGATTTTACTGATTTGAAAAACATCCATTCTTACTGAGAACAGGGTCATGTATCCACAGATCTAACCTGTAACTTGGCCTAGTAGTGTCACCTGTTTAACTTCATGGAGATAGATGTTTAATGCCGCACTATGGGACATCTCAGCAATAGCATTTCCAAGGAGACAAGCAGATGACCTTCCACCAGAAAAGTCTGTTGATTGTTTTTGATGTGATAACAATGCATATAACAGATGTATAAATATGAGTGGTGGAGGGTAATGAAATATACAGCTAAAATGCTAAAGTAAAGAACAGATACCTTAAAAGGTTACTTAAGATAGTTTTACAGTTGATACTTTTTGCTTTTACTTTACTACACCTGAGAGCATGCATCTGTACTTTCTACTCCACTACATTTTAGATCTGGACTGAAAAATAAAAAGTACTTTCCTTGGTGTGGTTTGAGACCTGCTGAAATGACTAAGACCTATTTTTAGCACCATGACTACTTCCTGTAGATTAGAGACTAGAATGGAACAAACCAACTACAAAAAGTGTTTCATTCTGCAATGTATTTAGCTCATGATTTTTTAATGATAATGTATAGTCAGAATATTTTAGGGGAGAGAATTCAGCTTTAGGGTTTTTGTGACAGTGGCAAATTTGTTTCAACACGATTGTTTATTGCCTAAAAATGTCCTTTTCAATAATGTATCTATCTCCCTCGCTTTTATTTTCCAGCAATCTACTATCACTTCACTTCATGTGTTATCTTGATGGGCCTATCTGAAAACAAGGAATCCTATCAGCCCTGACATCACTTAAGAAAACTAATGAATTTTTTAAAACTATTCATGAACAGTGGTGAAAGAAGTACTCAGTTTTTGTAAAAGTGCAGATACTCGTGCAAAACTTGTACTTCAGTAAAAATATTAAAGTACCCATTTGAAACTGTACTGAAAGAGTAAAAAGTATTTTGCCCATATTTGTGCAGGTCTTTGATCTAGTGATTTTAATAAAGATTTGCTAAATTTTGTTCAACAAAAACAACAAGCAGTTTTTATTTGTATATTTTTGTTGACTCAGACTATGAATGTTTTCAAAATAAACCCTCAGCCTTTCAGCAGGTCTCAATTTATAGTTAAAAATATTCTTAGTTTTCAGTTCTGTTCAAAAATGTGTTGGAGTATAAAGTACAGACACCTTCTCTCAAATGTAGTAGAGTAAAAGTACTTCATTTTGTTTAGTCACTGCTCATAGAATAGTGTCTCTGTGGAAATGTTATTGCTTTGTTCTGAATGTTCCACAGTATAGATTAAACCTAGATGGAAATGTTTAAAGTCATACCATGGAACATTCCAGGGAAAGCAATAACATCTCCATGAGGACAAGCAGGTAGCAAACCGAAGAAAATTATAGTGCACCTTTAAGTAAAACAGAGATACTTAAAATTATACTTGGTCTACTTTAATACTTTTACTTCATTACGTTCCACCACTGCTCATGAAATAATTAAAGTCCTCCTTAGATGTGATGATACAAGGTGCGTGTCTATGTATTTTAGCATGGCCTTTAGCCCCGAACAATCCTCCTAATGCTGTTTATTTGTCCAAACAAGCTGTGCACTTGATCCACTGACCTTCAGCACATCATAGACACAGCTTCCTCTGAATATGAAGCGACTCCACATCAGTAAACAATGCGCCTGACAGCCCTAACCTCAGTGCCATTAGCCCATTGGAGATACCACAGTTTGCCTTAATTCACCATCTTTCACGGTGTCAGACTTTATATTCCTTGGCATGGCCCGGCTACATGTGGACGCATAATTTAACGCAAATTAGCGCCTCTTTGAGTAAGCATCAAAGCGCGGCGGCTAAGGTTGGAGGAGAGTTTAAGGAACCGCGGGGAAACCATCGACAGGATTAATACGAGAGATTTTTAGAAGAAATTACTGGCTTAATGAAGTGGATAAAAAAGCTGTCAGTGTTTTATTGCATCTAAATTGTGTGGAAGTGGTGTTTAGCTGTCTCGCGTTCTCCTCGCATAATGGCTCGTGACAGTGGCTCTGAGGCTTATTTAACTTAACTGCTGAATAACATGCGTGGAGGAGCTATTCATCCACTTGTTTTTAGACGCGCTAAAACAATAACGCAGCTCTTCCTCCCTCCTCTGGTTCATTAAAGGTCCTATATTACGCAAAATGGACTCTTGTGAGATTTTAGCCGTGCTGGAATGTTGTTATCTCATCAAAAACATACCTGAAGTGTTTTGTTTCATTCACACGTTTGCGTAATTCTGCATTATCAGTCTGTCTACATCTCCACCTTGTGATGTCATGAAGTTATGAGCTACTTTTTACCTTTTGTTTAGCTGAGATTAGAAATTCCAGGGTGAGGTTATCCAGATGATTCTAATGCACGTGTGTGGAGTTTAAAAACACAGTGGAGCGAGCAAAAGGAAACGGTGGATTGAATATATAAATAATGTAAGACAAGACTCTGTTTGACCCATTACAGTACTTTGCTTTTCTTGCAATTGGTTGTAATAAATAAATTATTATTATTATTATTATTATTATTTAATTAATTAATTAATTCTTTGTAAGCATCAAAGGTGCACCAGCATGTCGTACTGTATTTGCCTTTTTCATACAACTTAAAAAAAAGAAAAAAAAAAAGAGAAAAATAAGCAATTATTTTAAAAAAACAAACAAAAAAAAACAAAGAAACACAGTGGAGCACTTCCTGTATTACCACATGACGTGTGTGTTTCCATCTCTCAAAAAACAAAACAAAACAAACAAAAAAACTGCCTAAATATGCAGGATTTGAGTTAAATATGTGTGAATGAGAAAAAAAACAACCTCAAGTATGTTTTTGATGAAGAAACAGCATTTTAACATAGAAAAAGAGTAATAATATGGGCCCTTTAATGGCATACCCACAACAGTCTGCTCAAGGAAACTGACAAATATGTGAAATGCCTTTGGATCGGACTGCACAACAAATTAGTAAAGATTTAAAAGGCAATGGTTACTGTTCTGTATCTAGACAAACTAACTGTGACTTAAGTTACAAATGAGCTTTGACCTTAAACCTGTTTCATCAATACTGTGGAAATCCTACTCACTGTTACGCTATTTATGCAAATGTATGCGGAGTGTGGAGTAGGATGTTAACAACTCGCATTTACTTAAAGGGACCATATTAGGCCATTTTCTGATCTATGTTATGTTGTTTCCTCATCACAAACATACCCAGAGCTGAGTTTTGTTTCATTCACATGTTTAACACACAAACCTTGTATATTTAGATTCTTCTCTCAAACTGAAAATACTCTGTTCCACTCTGTGATGTCATGTGGTAATACAGGAAGTGCTCCACTATGTTTTAAATTCCACACATCTTCACTAGAATCATTTGCAAACCAGTCGTTGCCAATCTCTACTACAAAAGGTGTTGCTTGAGTAGCTGTTGACTTGAGTACTACCGCTTCGACTACTACTATGTACTAAGCAACTATTACTGTTTTTGATGAGGTAACATTATAACATCGCTTAAAGCTCACAAGAGTCAGCTGTGTGTAATATAGGACCTTTAAAGATAATTTATAATATACAATAAAGCAACAAATAATGCATGCATACTGTAAACATAAGAACTGGAGACAGTTCATGAGAAAAAGACTCCAACAAACTCATTTTCTAAAGCACACCTGTAGCACCATCTTGTGGAGGGACACAGCAATTTCAAATGACAACTACTGAGTGAGAAATTTAATTGATTTATTTCACACAGTAGAGCATCACAGACACATGAAGTCAATTCATTGCAGTTTGGTTGTGCAAGTGCTTGTGACTACAGAGTTTTTACATGATCCAAGTTAGATATATTCTGTCCAAGCTGAAACATATGCGTTATCCCTGATATAAAAGAAATATGCATATATAAAATAGTAGTAGTGGCAAAGTAGTCATCTCATGTCACTTTGTTAGTCTACTTCCTAGGCCTGTCACAATAATATATATGAAAGCTGGAATATGTTTTAGGGTCAGTATTTATTGTGTGTACTTTTTTTTTTCGCGAATGGGACATTTTTGGTTATTTTTTGGCTATATTATAAGATTGAAGCTGTCAGAAGGTTAAATTAGTAACTTCTATGCCTCATTACAGATGTAAAATAAGTACTTAAAAAGATGCATTGTGTGACTTTTCTGGTGGTGGGTAAGTCACCTCTTTGTTTCTATAGATATGTCATTGAGTGGAATGTTCCACAGTATGACATTAAACAGATCTACAGTACATATATTCAATTACAGGTGGTTTTATAGCTCAAAAATACCTAGAAAAACAGGCATTCTGACTGAGCGGGGTTGCTTCTCTACAGGTCTGACCTGTAACTTGGTATGGTTTGGTCTCTATGAAGATGGAAAGGTTTAATACCATACTGGGAAACATTCCAGACAAAGCAATAACATTTTCCTGGAGAAAATAATTTGTCGGACCCTTCATAAGAAAAGTTACAAATGCACCTTTAAGTGATTCTTTATGTTTATTTATTCTCATAGTTTTTTTTAACAATATTGTACTTTTAGAATAGTTTTGTAGTTTAAATCAGCTCTTGGATGTTGTGTCAATGGCATAAATGAGTGTAAAAATGATTGTTTATTATCTATTTACTTCAAAATGTGTTACTGTGACAGGCCTGCTACTACAGCCTTTGGAACTACGTGAGCAGTGTTGTGGTCATTAGAAGCAGACTTCACGCTTGCATGCTTGGAATGAATACAAAACCTGTTTCTAATTTGGGCGTGTTAGAAATGATAGGAGAGCATGCAAAATGGATACTGCACATTATTTTTATTTCATTAGATTCCAAACCTATTTTAATTTGTAGTATTTGTAATTGCATTCACAACTAATGGCAGTGCTTTTCGTAAGTCTCCATCAGAAAGCAGTTTAGTGAATTTTTAAAGGACCCATATTACACCGTTTTCTGATTTATGTTATGTTGTTTTCTCATCACAAACATACCTGGAATTGTGTTTGATTCATTCACATGTTTAAACACACACACACTCTGCATATTTAGGCTGAATTCTTCTCTCAAACCTAAAAAAAACTCTGTTCCAGTTTGTGATGTCATGCAGTAATACAGGAAGTCCTCCAGTGAGTGTATTTTTTACTCCATACACCTTCACTGAAATCATTTGTAGAATTTCAGCCCTGGAATTGACTATCTCTACTGAACAAAAGGTTAATAGGTAGCTGTAAACTTGAAAACTACCACTATATGATATCACAAGGTGGAACTGAGTATTTCGAGCTTTAGAGATGTGCACAGACTAATAATAAAGATTTACTCAACCAAGTGTGAATGAAACAAAACAACTTCAGGTATATTTTTGAGGAGGTAGAAATATTCTAACATGGCTTAAAGCTCACAAGAATCAATTTTGTGCATTATAGGACCTTTAATGTAGCCAAGTTATGATCAGTAAGTGCATTGGAAAGACAGTAGAATGAATACTGTTTTAAATCCTCTTGAATAGTCTCTCAAAATGTCCAAACATACTTCCATTCACACAACAACTCAAGTGGGCATCTCAATCCCTTTTCAGGTCTCTCATATAATCTTCATTTCCCTTGACGAGTGAGACAAAAATAAGAATATGGAGCTGGTACAGGGCAGCATTCGTTCGGGTGGGCGGGTGAAGTGAGTGGTGATGGTGAGAGGAGAAGAAGCCTGCATTTGGACAGGCTTCATCTGCATAAGGCCATCTCTGAACACGAGAGCAACTCCTCCCTGTTTGTGTTCCTCCATCAGCACAGAAGTGGTCAGGATGTCCCAGAATGACATCACAGCTTGGCGAGAATGAGAAGTTTACAGCAGCAGTAAGGGAAGGTGTGTTTTTGTAGTCTTTTTTTTTGTTACCACACCTCATATTTCCTTGGTTACCAGAGAATTGGACCCTCCTTTCAGCCTAACCGTTCCGTGCTCCTGGGCTGGTGCCGTCTTGTTTGGGGTCACTTTAGGCACCCCATGCAGTCTCTGTCCTCCTTACAGGCTGTGGCCCCTTGTGAAGTCTCTCTCTTCCTCTTTGTGCATTGTTTGTATCAGTTCTTTTTGCAGGGTTGGTTAGACAGTGCTGCGTGGCGTCCCATTGAGGGCTACAGCCTTGGTGCAGGGCGAGCCCGGAGACTGAGGACCAACTGGACGCTGTGTGGACACGCCCACTTCAAACACTTCGTGGATGGCTTTCCGGAAACAATGGAAGTTGTAGTCTATCAAGCCTGAAAGAGAAGGACATGTATTTTTCTCCCTATTTCAATAAAAAAATTCTATTGCTTTAAAAATGAATTGATTATTAAAATTAGCCTCTCCTGTTTAAATGCGAGTGTCTGGGTATATGTCATTTCCATATTTCATTCTCTTACTTCTCTCACATCAGTTTAAAAATGTTTTGACCCCTGACAAACGCACTGGCATCCCTCACCATGCAATAAAAGACTTTTATATTTTTTGTCAGCGTGCCTTGGATTTGTACCTTACCCATTTTTAGATTATAAAGTTAGGGCCATTTTCTGCTGAAAAACAACGGAGTTTAGTGTTAATGATTTGTCAGCTGATTCAAGATTTGTCTTCATTTAGCACTAAATATTTCTCTCAAATGTTATTTATCCTGGATGTGTTTAAAATGTGAACAGAATTCTATTATTAAAACATATATACAGAAATCTAAACACAATGCTAGTTTTGTGTTTCCCAAAAAATGTCCTAGTCTTGTTGATAGTGACTAAAGAAGTTACCATGAGTCTACATATTTTTCGCAATGATAAAGCAGCTCTTAGGTTCAATAATGTGTTATTTTTCCATGTTGTGATGGAGTTTTGGGGTAAACAGAACAGTAGTCTTTACCTTTCCTTTCAAAGCTCTCTTCTCTCAGGATGCAGACAAGGGCCAGGAACTTCGTGACCTCCTTCAGATACAGCACTGTGGTGTTGTTGAGCTTGATGATGGCCATGGACTCTTTGTCATAGGCACTGCCACTGCCATCCTCCTTCAGACTGGAGGGCCACAGCAACATATGGAACACAACATAAGATCTTTTAGTTTCAGTTAGGTTAAAACCAAGCTAAAGAACAGTTCAGTTTTCACACAGACCTAAACACAACTTTAACTATATCAAATCATATGTGTTGGATCTTTACATTAAAATTTGTACATATACATTTTAATGAACTGACCCTGTTAGTAGATCAGATTATATATATAATATAGCTGTATAAATAACTAACCCACTAGCCGCCATGTTCCAAACAGGAAGTGAACATGTGCACAATTTCTGCTCCATCGACTTTACACTGAAAAATTGTCACCCCTCTCTCTGGAACTCCAACAGTGAGCTTTGTCAATTCGGTCTTAAAATGTTCATATTAACCTGCTTTACACTATTTTGTCCGTAAATTAATTCCTATTCCTAATATGGAACTTGACTCCAGATTTGCTCCATAAGTGCTCATATTACCATGAGGCCTTAAAAGTAAGTATTAAGTAAGACCATTCTAAAACTTTCTAGAAATGCCCAACTTCCTACCTGTGTTTTTTATTTCCTGTGTAAATACTAGTTTTACTATAGATTTTTTATTTTTTTTATAATCCCAGGTGTAACTCACCCGTATATACAGGAGACATCAATGACGACGTCGATCATGTCACAGCAGAGCTCATAGGACTGCATGTCCACTGGAGAACTGTCCGTTGCTATGTAGATTTTACTGACCACATCAAACAGAAAGGCCTTTTCTATCCCTGAATTCTGAAACACAAGAATAACCAAGTCAAAACTACATTTCATTTGTCATTCATTTACAACTTCTCAGAAGAGATCAGCAGATTTGCTTTGTTTTGTTTGTTTTTAACACAGAGCAGCCAATGGCCATCAATCTCTGAATGCTGATCTGTAGAGTCGATTTTTAGCATGTCCAAAAGTTTGATTATATAAAACTAATATAAACTTCAGGTCAGATCTGAGGACAAGTGACCCTGATCTCAGTAAGAGTATATGTTCTGTTTTCAAGACAATAAAATGTAATTTAATAAATTCAAGTAATATACATTTAAAGCAATACTGTGGAATGTTTCCGGCAGGTGATGTGTCCTCCCCCCAAAAAGTTACACAGAAAAGCCTCTTCATAATTGAACAAAAAAATACTAAATATTACAGAGGACTCCAAAAATTTGTCATGATCTAAAAATGTTATTACTTAAAGGTGCACGATGTAACTTTTTGGTTGAGGGTCCATCACCTGATGGTTTCTATGGATATGCCATTTCTCCTCCTGTAATGTTCAACAGTCTGATATTAAACAGCTCTACCTTATATTGATTCAATTACAGTTGGTTTTGTAGCTCAAAAATACTACTAAAAAAAAAAAAAAAACAGGCATTCTGACTGTGAGTGGGGTTGCCTTTCCACAGGTATGACTTGTAACTTGGT